TGTTCAATATTTTAAAATTTGAAATAAGCCTTTCACATATCCCAGTTACAAGGAAAAATCTAAAATTAGTGCTAAGGGTTCAAAACCAGGAAAGACACTGTAATATCCTTACAGCAAGGCTTCTGATACCTTCAGGCTCTTCAGCAAATGACCTTAGTAGGCTGAAAATAAATATTTCACAGGGTCACAATTCAGCCTTTCATCTTTTTTCATCCAGCTTTCTTGGAAGAAGAGGTTGTGGTCTTCAAAATATAATGACAATTTTCATAGCTTGGATTAGAAGAAAGCTCTAGTGAGGGTTCCCTCCTCATGAATAAGTAATTCAAAGTCAGTTTATGTATTGAAGACATAGTATTAGCAATTTGATTCTGACAGGGCCAAGTCTGTCAGACAAACCTTTGTAAATATGACAGTCTCCAAGGAATTCATGTTGCAGTAGGTAGGGAGTGCATACTCTAGGCTGGGACTTTGAACAGACCAATAAAATAGACAAATCTCTGGCAATTCAACCAAGGGGCAGAGGGAAATATTAAATTCATTCTACTCTAGTATGATATAGTACTATATCTGATTTATTTTTTAAAAATCTATATGATCACGTCACATTATAAAAACAATAAGAATAAATAATTGTTTCTATGAAATAAAAAGCCAGGACAATTTTTCAAAAGAATAACGATAGTTCTTATCTTATGAAATATTGCAATATATTAAAAAGCTATAGGGATTAAATGAGAACAATACTGGCACAAGAATGGGCAGATTAATGTAATAAAAAGAATTCATAAATGGTGGACTCAAATGTAAGTCAGAAATATGTAGGTGATAAAGAAGACATTTAAATCAGCAAGGGAAAGGATGAATTAATCAATAAATCACGTTGAGACAAGTGGCTCAGCATCAGTAAAAAGTAAAGTTATATTCCTGCTGCATATCTCATCTGTAAATAAATTCTAGATGGATTTATGCTATTGAAGTATAAAAAACATCATAGCTAAGAGTTCGAGATGGAGACATTCTTTTCAAGGATGACATCAAAGTCAGTTATCCTCAAGTAAAAGAATGCTCCATGGGATTTTGTGAAAATTATAATTTTTTGTATGGAAATTAAAAAGAGCCCATATAAAAAAGAGATAAAGGTTAATATTATTTCAATACTAATATTAATGTAATTTCATTTTACCCACAGGCTGGTGAGCTCTGTGAACAATGATGACATGTCTTAATCTATAGAAATACATTGGGGAAAAAAGTATAGAAGGATATACCTCTGTATGGGTTCTATCTGAATGGTAAGTATACAGTACATATGTTTTTTTCTTTGTATTTTCCTGTACCTTTAAATTTAGTTTTTGCAATGATTATATACTCTTTCAATTTATAATCATAAAAATAATATAGCTATAAAAATTGCTTACTAGTTCTACTTGTAATGCTTAGAAATTATTACATTACACTACACATACTTAAGGATGCTTTAAAAAGAAATCCAAGTTTAATTTGGCCTGGAGTTCAAAGTGTCTTGAGGTTTCCAAACCACAGGGATGTAGCAGCTAGTATTTTACCATTTTATACTTTGGTCTTTTATTATATTATAGAATTTGTTCAAAGTCCATATACAAAGTGATGATATTCCATTTTGTGAGTTGCTCACTATATGCTCCTAAATATTGTGATGAGTAAGTCTTCTAAAAATATATATGAATGCCCAAACTACTCTCTTGCATTCTATTTATTTTGCTTTGACTAGGGACCAGTGAATCTGTCTAAATAATCCATCTCATTGCATGAGAATAAGGGTCCACAGACTATTTGATAATTCCCACATGTGAGAATTATATCTTAAAGATACAGAATATGAGAATTATATAAAGAATATGAAAATCATATAAACATGACAACTAACTCTAATGCAGTAAGAATATTTTTTTCTTAGAGAATATCTAGGATTTTGCAAATTAATTTAATAAATATTGATTACGGACATATTTCCTAATATCCTCTACTTCAAAAAACTTCAGTAATCACTGTGACATGTCTCCACACAATCTACATTTTCTGGAGTCCATAACAATATATTTAGAGTAAGAGAGACAGCAATGATGGTAACTGGCATCTCACTAGATGAATTATTCCAAAGGAAACATTTCTTTCAAAGAGAACAGTGGCCTGGAAAGAGCTCAGTCTTTGAAAGCAGACAGCCCAGGAGTCCCTCTCAGACTCCCTCACTTATAGTCGCTATGGGCTTGGGCAAATTACTTGACCTCATGAGTTTGTTCCCACACCTGTAAGACAAAGAGAGTAATAACTGTCTTGTGGTCATTATTGAGGGTAGGTGTTTAAAGTACCAGGCACATGTTAGGCACTCAAAAAAGTGGTGACTGTTACTGGTGGTGGATAACAGGCTACCAGCAGAAAGCTGGCTGACTCCTTGGTGAGGCTCACAGAGGAGAAAATATAACCCCTACGAACATACTTCAATCCAGAGGCGAGGCTACTAGGCTGCAAACTGGATGATTACAGGGAAAAATCTCATGCTATTCAAGTTCAGTCGCCAGTTTACTGATTTAAAGAGAAACATATTCCTTCCTAGTGCCTAAAGTGATCCTATCCTTCAATCAGGCAAACCCTTCCTTATATCAAAATAACTGATTAGTTATAGGGAGGATGAATTCAGAACAAAGAGAGGCAAGGTCCTGAGGGAAGTTTCACCTGGGCCACAGTGAGGCCTGAGGACCCTCCTCACCTTACCACTGACCCCACCTCACCAGCATACAGAAACTCAGGATGCGCCAAAGCTGGGGTGTCTCTCTGCATGTAGTACCAGACAACCACCACCACCTTTGGAACCTCTGAGCTTTCCTTTTTCAGTATTCAAGGCAAACAACCCACCCTCATTCTGTCCACACAAGCCTTTCCCAGGGAGAGGCATGCAATGCACTGACTCCACTTAGCGACTTAACATCACCTCCAGTCCTCCCCACCTCACCCACCTCCTACCCTGCAATAGCAAGGTTGCCATGGTGCAAGTGTTGAGTGTTCCCTCAGATAGCCAATCTCAACAGCTGTGTGAGAATTTTACCAAGATAACCATAAAGAAGTAGCTGATTCCCTTGTTTCCAAGTCCTTGAGAAAAACCTCACTGCTTCCCCATATAAGACCAAGTAGGTTTTACTGTTGTTTCTGTTGATTGGATGGATGGATGGATGGATGGATAGATGGATGGATGAATGGATGCATAGATAAAAAATGAATAGATATAAAATCAACAGAATATAGTAATACAGCACTGGACATCAGCAATAAATGAGTCCTCGGTATCTTATTTAGCACCCAGGATCATGAGAAGGGAGACCAAAAAAAAAAAATCCCTTGATGTTTTGACATATGTTTATTCCCTGAATAGGTTCGGGGAATACAAAAGCAAAGGACTATATTGAGCTTAAAGTGAGGCTGTCTAGCCAAAAGCAGCCTCTCTTTTCATTCAGTCGTTTTATTTAGAAGTTCACCTTTAACCAGAAATTCACTGAGGTTTTAGTACATGTTGGTCTCTTACAAGTACCATACTGAATGGACTGTACTCTGAGCCAGAGACCTCACTCTGTCCAGACTGACCTTGAACAATTCGCTTAGTTCTATCAGGTGTTTTTAAGGCCCCCTCTCTGTGAGAAGAGGATACTAATTTTAGCCCTCCACCCTCCCTCAGGAATGTTGTGGGGAAAGAGCAACAGCACATGGGATACATGCAAGCGCCTACAAAGAAAGATCTGTCAATGAATTCATGTGATGAACAGAGAGAAACAGGCAATATCCTCAGTATCATGCTGCTTTTCTTCCTTTAAGCACATTTCTCTGGTTAACGTTAATGGTAAATTGATAAACATGCTAAGCAGATATAGGTCATGCTGCTATTTTCAATCAGTAACTCGCTTGCTGATGGTTCTCATTTTGGGAATTCATTTAGCACAATCCTGATTTCTAGAAAAGGATAGGGAAAAGTATCCATAAAGGTTTATCTTGTTGAAAAAAAATCCAAATAATTCATACCGAGCATCATCCCAAAAGTCAGTGCCACCTTCCCACCCAGCCCTCTGAGCAATGCAGCTCTGTGCAGGCAATGTCACAGCAACATGAGGTGAGCAGAAGGTTTTCCTACAAAAAAGCCCAGAAGCAGTCAAAGGCAAGCAGTAACTCCTGGTTGGCCACTGGAATGTGGTCACATTATTCTCTGAACATGTGAAAAGCAACATTCTGCAACCAGTGGGGTCCTTGTGACAGTGACAGAGCTTTCTCCCGGGCTGTAATCAATTACGATGCTTAAGTGCATTATGTTTTAAAGAAAAAATAAACAGCTCTTGTGTGCTGTCTCTGTTTCTCTGTCTCTCTCTTTTTAAGATGGTACCATGGAGACCCATCCAAGTCAAATCATTTCAAAGCCATCTTTGACCAACTGCTTGCTCTCAGAGAACACTTTCAGAATTGTTAAACTAGAACTAAAATAAATGAATAATCTGAAATACACAATGTTGTTCTTTTATCAGATCACATTGTTTAATCTCCCTTTTCTGCATATCAAGAAAGGAAATAACAATTTTAAGTAAGAAAAAAGAACAGTCTGTGAAATATATCTTTTGGAGCCTCTGAGCAAACACACCCAGCACCTATGCATGGGAGAAACGATCCTGAAACGCTGCCTCACCCACCCTGTGGAGTATTCTCATCCAATTTCTATATATAGCCACCACACTTCACATGCACAAACCCTCCACCCTGTCCACATGCACACTGTCGTCTTATGCTTGCAGAAATTGGAATGCTGTAATAATGCCCTGAATTTGAGAAATTCACAAGAAAAGCCAAGAGATGGTTTCCTCGATTGAATGAAAAAGGCTGGTTTGGTTGGCGGCAGCGCCTTCACGGCAGGGCAGGCACTGCCCAGCTCTCCGGAGTGTGATCTGCATGTCTAATAATGGAATAGGTTCCTGGGATCAGCCGCTTACCTTGGAATGCTGCAGCAGAAGTATCTGCTCGTCAAGCTGTTGTCGCTTGCCTTCTATTTCAGTCTGCCTCTTTCTTTTTTCCTTGAAAATAAAGAGAGAGAGGCTGTAAGAGTGGGTGGGTGTTGGCTCCAGAAATTTTAAGGCAGGAAGTAGCAGCAGCAGCAGCAGCAGCAGCAGCAGCAGCAGCAGCAGCAGCACACATCTGTGTAGACACTTCCAGAGACAGCGGGCACACACGCAGGGTCACCTGCCCCACCGTCTCCGGGTGTGTTGCAAGCAGCAGCATCCTCCTAACATGTCTGCTGTAGGCTCAAAGAGTGGGAGAAATTCTCCTCACTCAGCCAGGCTGCAAGAATTTAATCCAAAAGAAAAGGCGGTTTCTACACACAGACACACACACGCACACACACAGACACACACACACACACACACACACACACACAGAGCCATGTTCTGTGCGGTGTTAATTTGGACACAAAGAATAAAAATGTCTCAATCCAAAAGACAGAGGTTCTTACAAACTGCAAATACCATAGAATAAAACAGTGGGAAATTCTGGGTGAGATTTCTTTGCTCAGAATCATAGACATAAATAATCCGATGTCATTTCAAATTTTATAGGACAAATCATCCAACAATGCAAATCAAATGGGTGATCTTTGCTGCCACTAGCCTTAGGCTAGCATTTCACGTGGGTGGGGCAGCTGAGGTTACGGTAAATATGGAATCTGTCTGTCTGGGTCCAGCTCCCAGCCCTACCACTTACTACCCTGTCTGACTTCTGACAAGTTCTTCTACCTCCCTGGGTCTCAGTCTTCTCCTACATAAAGTGGAGATAATAACTGCACCCAAACTACTTGGTTGTGGAGTGGATTACAAAAGATGATGTAATGTAAAAGGTTTAGAACAATGTCTAGCACAAGGTAAGTGCTCAATCAATGTTATTTGCTCTTATTCTTACTGTTGTAAGTTTACTTCTAGGTCACACCTAGAAACTGGTTTTAAAGGGACGTATTTTCCTTGCATTTCCACCATAACCTTTTCATTACAGTGCATCCTTCATATTCTTCTTCTCTATACTTCTCCAGTACAGACAATCAACAGCATATGAATGTGATTCATGAGAATAGAAAGACCTGCCCTTATGATAGTTTCCTTGTTAATGCTCTGTTTCCAAAGTGTTCAGGAGTGGTTTGCCGGGACATTTACTGTACTGGAGCGTTCTCTTTTACCCACATATGCAGGGGGAAACTTGTTAGACAAGACATAATGGCATTTGACAATACAACAGCCAAATCCTGGGGACAACAACAACGTGGAAGCCAGGCTGCTGTGCTCCGTGTAAACGGAAGCTTTTATCTTATGTAGTTGCCGTGTTTCTGGGGTTATGATTGTACCACTGCTATTCAAATCAATGTGATAATAATGTGTGTTACCACCAAGGTTTTCTGTGACATCCCCAGACTTTATGAAATATTAGCTCATAATCTTAAGCCTCTAGAACATAATATCCAAGTCAGGGATATGATCTCCCTGACAAAGTAAGATGCATGAATATTTTAGGAATGTACCATTTACTGAAGAACTCCAATCAGTGGTGCATAATTGATGCTTCTTAATCCCAGAGAGTGTGCAAGGCCATATAATATATAACAGTAGATGGGAAAGGTGAGGTACAGTGGGAACAGCCCACCTACTCAGCATCTCAGAGATACCGCATGATAAAGCTAGGGCTTCCAGGACCAGCTGCTATCTCTACATTCTAGAATCTTTCAAGAGTAGGTTTACTGGACATTGTCAGTCATTTTCACTGGCTGTCAAGATATGTAGTTTTCATACATTTGAATGTAGAACAAAGATGTATGTCACAGATATGAGAGGCTGATGACTCAAGACCTCCAGAAATATTGAGTGGCATGTGTTCTCATTACATGTCTTGTCACTTCCAAACTGTTTCTAGGCTTTCTCACAGCTGTGACTTTGTTCCAACAGAAAGTTCTCACTCCAGAGATGCCCATCATCATACTGGTGAGCCATTCTCTGAGCAGAATAAACCTTACCAGGCAGTACAAACGCTGGACCTTTACATGCTCAAGCAGCAGGCTCATCAGTGATCACTATAACTGATGTGGGCATGAAGGTTGTAGATTTCAAGTTAGTCCTTTAAGAATGGGCAGGATTTAGGGCTGGGCACAGTGGCTCATGCTTGTAATCCCAGCATTTTGGGAGGCCAAGGCAGGCAGATCACCTGAGGTCACACTTTCAAGACTAGCCTGGCCAACATGGTGAAACCCCATCTCTACTAAAAATACAAAAATTAGCCAGGCATGGTGATGCACGCCTGTAATCCCAGATACTTGGGAGGCTGAGGCAGGAGAATCACTTGAACCCAGGAGGGGGAGGTTACAGTAAGCTAAGATCATGCCACTGCACTCCAGCCTGGGCAACAGAGTGAGAGTCTGTCTCAAAAAAATAAAAAATGGGTAGGACTTAGGTAGATACAAATGGGCAATACATTCCAGGCAAAAAGAACTAGGTGAGCAAGGGTAGAAATGTACTGCATATTCCAGGGACAATGAGGAGGAAAATCTAACTGAGTGCAGGGCTTGCCTTTAGGAACAGAGATCAATGACTCAAAAGATTGGCTAGGAGTACACCACGGAGGGCCATGAAATGCCAGGCCAAGAATTTTAGATTTTATTGCATGGACAAGGCAATGTCATTGCAGGGTTCTAAGCTACAGAGTGATATGGCGAAATGGCATTTTAGGAACATTAATCTGGTATTCATGTATAAAGCAGATTAAAATGGGCTGGTACGCTTTTCCTATAAAGGAAAAGTAAATATTTTAGATTTTGTGGGACATACAGTGTCTGTCACAACTATTCAATGCTACCATTGTAGTTCAAAAGCAGTCCTGGACAATATTTAAATGAATGAGTGTGGCTGTGTTCTAATAAAACTTTATTTGCAAACACAGGTAGTAGGCCAGATTTGGCCCACGGGTCCTAGTTTGCTGACCTCTGAATTCAAATATCATTTAAGTGCCTTAGGAGGATGCTCCATTCACCTAGGTGTGCAGTGAGGATGGATGAACTAACAAACTTCCTAGCTTAGAGCTGTACCAATTAGAATGGAAAGAGAAGGACAAATGCAAGAAACAGAATTGATGAGACTCAAGACTAATAGGATCTGGGGGTGAGGCAAAGTGGTGTTTTGGTTTTGAGTCACACAGACCACAAGAGTGCTGGTGCAGGAAGAGGCAACAGTGGGAAAGCAGTCAGGCTGAGCCCATTTGTGCTGTAGTCCTACTCCCCTTGAGGAAACTCCTTACTGGGAGTTTATTACTATTATTGGGTTAGAATTTGGAACTAAACAGTTGTTAGCATATACAATCAGGCAGCGGCATTAGCATGTTTACCTCTGCATTCTGACTGATGACCCTGGGCCTGGCGTCATGACAAAGACCCACTGTGCATCCATAGCTGTTGCAGGATTCGTTGACTGCTGGAGCTCCCTTTCACAGTGATGGCTTTTTTTTTTTTTTTTTTTTTTCTGAGGCAGTCTTCACTCTTGCCCAGGCTGGAATGCAGTGGTGCCATCTCAGCTCACTGCAACCTCTGCTTCCTGGCTTCAACCAATTCCCCTGCCTCAGCCTCCCAAGGAGCTGGGACTGCAGGTGTGTGCCACCATGCTTGGCTAATATTTGTATTTTTAGTAGAGATGGGGTTTTGCCATGTTGGCCAGGCTAGTCTTGAACTCATGACCTCAGGTGATCTGCCTACCTTGGCCTCCCAAAGTGCTGGGATTATAGGCATGAGCCACCGAACCCAACCCACAGTGATGATCTTAAAGTCACTTCTAGGTGGGCAAGAGGCAAGCAGCCCATGCTCAGAATTAGATATGAGTCAAATGACAACACATTTGCATAGGACACCATTAAGGAACTCACTTTCAGTTTCTGACCCTTGTTTGATGGCTGTGCTCCTCACCTGGCGAGCCCACTGGTTTCCAGATTTCTCCTTCCCTTAACCAGGACAAAACTGGTAACTCTTGGGCCCTTCATTCTCATCAACTCCACAACTCTACCTCTTCTTTCAGCTGCAGATCCCTATACTGAACTGCCAAGTGTTCATAGCCACTCCCCCAAACTCAAACGCATGCAGTCACCATCTCAAGCAATGCCTCGCCCTCTACCTTCACACCTGTTCCTTCTTCTATATGTTTCATCTCAGCAAATGACCCTACTCAAGTCAGAAATCTAAGTCATCCTAGATACTAACTTGCTTGAAAGACCAAGTCATGTTGATTCTGCTGGCCAGTTTCCACATCTTTTGCTTCCCCACTATAACCTTAAATACTGCCTTAACATTCCCTCCTTCATCTCCTACCTGCACATGGAGACTATTACATATGAGTATCTTTAGCACACCAGAGAACTGACTCCAGCTGGTTTACTGTAGCGGTTTCCCTATTAGTCTCCCTGCCTCCACTCTTGGCTTCTCCAAGTCAATCTCCACACTGCTGCCATAGTGATATTCTAAAATGGAAATATGACCGCCCCCATCCCTTGTCTAAAACCAGGGATGTCTCTCCATTGCCTACAGTGCAAGGAGCAGGTTCCCTAGCATGGCCAATGAGGCTCCTGTCAATCTCACAGCTTCATTTTAAGCCATGGCCCCTACCATGCTGCAACGTCAAAGACTACTTCTAGTCTCCTGATCTTCCAGGCTGGTTCATGTCCTCTTAGTTTTGCTCTTATTGCTTCCTCTAACAATAATAGATGTCCCTTGCTGCTTCATTTGACAAAAAATATTCATCTATGACAGCACAGTTTAAATATCAATGAAGCTTTGGTGAACATCGGTCAATTTTGATCTGCCTAGTCTTCTCTCCTTTGGGGAAACACATCTACCCTCACTGTGAATGGCTCTTTGGGAAATGCCAGTCATGGTTAGCTCATTCCTGCTGCCAGGACTTGTATGTGAGCCAGGTTAGGCCTATCATGCTACCTTACCTCTTTGTAACAGCCATTAATCCAAGGAATGGCTAAGCGAACTGAGAAAGACCAATTAGAGACA